GTTGAAGCCCATTTGAATGAAGTGTAAGCTTCGCTAAAAAGAAGCGACATACAACAAAGCAAAGCAAAAATCAAAATGAATGAATAAAGTACATGTAGTAAACATTCCAGAATGAGGAATTTGCAGTGGGTGTGTCTTCTGTCCGTTCTTCCACCTCTATGGTCCCGTTCCGCTTGCGGTCTCTGGGTTGTTTGTCTAATATCCCTGAAGTAACGCCAACTTCGCCGTCAGTCACCCTATGGGTAAGATGATCATGAGGTGACGATGGTCTGACCTTACTAATACTCATGTATTTCGTCAGTTAATCTGAACTGTTTGGGGTAAAAAGTGCAATGTCTACTAATTGTGTATTTCTTAATTACAGTCGAACCTGTCCAAAACAATCACATGTACAAACGACCACTTCCCACTTCTCCCCTTACGTTTTAAAAAATATTATAATAATGACGCCATTTAAGACGTCCATATGTCTAAGAGAACCACTTTTCTCCTTGACCATTGGGGATTGTCTTGGAAAATTTTGACTGTATTTACTATTTGAAATGGGAAATTGGGGAGTTGAATGCCTTATGAACTGATGTCACTTCAGGTATATAATTTTTTTTTCTTGTCTTTTTTTTTTACAGGAAGGATTTTTAGAGTTCCACGCGGGAGGCCCTGAATCAAGGAAAAATAATCCGTGGCCGTCTTTCGGAACGATATGTGGTTATGCAGCGGCTGGTATCGGAGTTCTTACGCTTGGAGCATTTCTTACGCAAAAGTCATAGGGGAACGTGAAGTTTCTCCTTCTTCTCCTCTTACTTCTCGTTCTCTCATTAAGTAATGGTGATAAATATATGTGACATTTTGGTATGTGCCACTGTGTTTGTGTCTGGTACGTTGTGGTGCCGTCTTGTTCTTTACGGCAGATTCAGAGGAAGGATCTGGAAGCTTTTAGATTTTATTGTGATAGGCTCAGTTTTATTGCTGGTTTGAACTAAAAATGTTTATCACGTTTCCTGTTTCTTTAGTTGTAGGGCAGAGGCAGTTAGCTCAAAGCTTTTGGCAGAGCTTTCCATAATTTTCGACCCAAATTTTTCAACTGTTTCATTTTACAGAAGATAAGTTGTCAGATTTGTGTTATTCCTGTCTTACAAAAGTACAATTTGGATATAAGTTCTGTGTAGATCATCCAGCCAGTTACTTTATATTTTTATACATGTACAGTTTTCTTTGAGTCTTAATTTTGGTGCTAGATGTGGACATTTTGTTGCTCCATATGCTGTAGCACTATGAACGTACTGAACAGTTCTGAGATGTCTGAAATCAAGCTGGATTTATAGTTAAAAAATAGGTATTTTTCTCGAATTTAGCTATTGGTCACATAATTTGGTTTGAAAGTTGTCTTTGATTGAATCATCATTATTCTGACTTGAACTGTGACTCCGTGGAAGGACTCTTGCCTGGTAATCTGGGGATCCAGCTTTCCAACTCGACAAGAAATTAGTGGGGATTTACCTCTGAGTTTTCACAACTCACTGAAACAGGTCAAGTCCTATCGAGGATCGACTGTTAGAGGCATGTGTCACTTTTTAAAAATTATCAAGGAGTACTGGAAGTGATGAGAAACATAACCACCACCCAGTAGTGGTGTTCAGTGCACTCTGTGCACACCAGATAGCCGGCATTTACCACCCTCTAGTCCGTTACGATTTAAGTTGAGACAGGGTCCTTAACTCTCTAAAAAGCTGTGTAATCTAAGAGGAATTCTTTAAACATTTTTTGTTTACATCCTCTTTGAGGATATATTTAGCCTCACTTCTTTATGTGAGGCAGCGTGGTGGAATCAGGCTCTCGTCAAAATAATCAAAGTGAAGAAACTTGCATTTTTCCGCAGGTTTGTGAATTTTTATCGAATTTTTGTTTTTTGGCTCAACACATTTCATGCCCATCAAAAAACTCATTTCTGTGTGAATTTATCTGAAAAACGTTGATTAAAGGCACAAAAAATGTAAATTTTCAGTTACCATGGATTCTTAAGCTAAGAAAGTAACTAATCTTTGCGGACATTTTCTCTCTAATTTTACCTCTGAAAACAGGTGACCCTTACCTCCTTCTTTCTCAAATATCTCGAATTGTATTCAAGATAAATGGATATTTTTTTCATCCAAATAAAGACAAGTGAACAAGCTTTAAGATGATACCAACCAATAACTCAACATGTCCAAAAATTGACGAGAGCCTGATTCCACCATGCTGCCTCACATATTTTTTCAATTTCTTTTAGTCACATTTTTAGTTGTTTTTTGTTTTACTTTCGACATATCATCAGAATACTCAATGAGTTCCATACAGCGGCATCAACAATACTGATAAGTTCACTTTTTTATTGTTGTCAGCTACGTTCCACCAACCTTTTTTGGTAAGGTCTGTTGAGTATCTGTATACTGCTAGTTATATACGTATATGTAAGATATTTTTTTTCACTCTTGAGCTTCTTTTTCTCCTGGATGGCTGGAAACAAAACTTCTGATAAATTTTATGTTTTGAATATCACCTTCTGTTACATGGTAGAAGTGGTGACAGAATAGACTGTAATAGTGTGTGGGGGGGGGGGGGGGGGCTCTCTTGGCCTAGAGGGTAAGGTGTTGGCCTCTCATTCTAAGGTCCTGGGTTCGAATCCGGGTAGTGACCGAAAAATTTTCTTCTCTAAATTTGTCTTGTTTCACCTCCTTTCCTGCTCTCTAGCAATATTCTGTCGTCTGCTTTCGTCTCCTCTTTCTGCCCCCACTCCCTCATCTCCTTTGCCCCCTCCTCTGGGCTCCTGACTCTTTCTGCAGCCTTTCTACTGCTACTCCTTGGCTCCTCCTTACTGCTGTCTTTCTGCCACACCCCTGATCTTCTGGTAGGAAAGATCTACACCTAGCCTTCTCGGACAAGGGCGAAAAATCATGGAGGGGCCGTGTGCAAGTTGCGCACGTTAAAGATCCCTTGGTGGTCTAAAATCGATAAGAGTAGGCTGCGGTCGCCACCCAGGCAAAATTCAAAATTCCCTAGCGACTGAAAATGTTTAGTGTGTCCCGCGCGCTCATATGACCTTATACAGTTGCGAGCACCGTAAAACACTGTGCAAAAACAAACAAGACTAATAGATTCATTTTTAGCATTAGAATACATACAAATGAATATTTTCTGTACTCTGTTAAGTATTGTAAGTGTGGTAAAGTGGCATGATTTTTAGGGCCTTTTTTCCTCGTGTTTCATTGAAAGCGCATTTTGTGCTGCTCCTGGACTCTTGAAACCACTTTTAATCTCGGTTTGTTCACGGGAAAAAAAGAACCACTTGTAATATAGTGGTCGCCTGATGATTTTGATGTCTGTCGCACAAGCCTGTGAAAGTGGCCCTGGCCATGTGGGCTTTGTACGCTTGTTTAGCGAACACTGTTTAATTTATATCACATTCTCAGATTTTTGGTTGTTACAGAAAGCTCTACATATTTAATTCTTATGAATATTTATTGTTGATGTTGTTTGTGTATATTCTCAGTGAGTGCTCATTTATGCTATATATATATATATATATATATATATTTATATATATATATATATATATATATAGATATATATATATATATATATGAAGTATGGAACCGTTGTTCATGAATAGATGTTGCGCCAATGTAACCACAGTGACTTGATGGTGATGTAGATTGGAACATTACACCAAAGTATTTCAAAGACTCATTTTGATCCCTGGTATTGTTTTCAGTCAGACGGTTTGGGTTTATAGCTCTGTCATAGTGCAAAGTACACAAACATCTGCACGCCTGTGAATGTGTAAATATAAAATGTGGGGCACGTTTGCATTTAGTGGGGATAAACTCATTGATTTTATGCCTGTTGATACAGTGTCTGAATGTCAGTCGCTGTGCTGACTACATGAACATTTTTCTCTCTAGCAGAAGATCAGAAAGTGTATTAATCTTGTTTGGACTTGATGAAGACACCAAATTTTGGTATAAAAAGAAATGATTATGTCTGTCACACTGTTTTTATGTTTTTGAAATAGGTCAAATGAGTAATTTACCTTCTCAAGTTATATGTATATTTTGTGTACATGTTTGTATGCATTATTTGTGTGTTATTGAGAATCAGTGAATTGTTCATTGATAAACTGTCTGAATTTATTAGGCTCAGAAAGCAAAATTTATCAGTAGAAAGGGAAAAAAACAACACTTTCTTTTTAACAGTTTATCTTCTTTTCGTTTTGCAACGTTGAGAATTTGAATTTTGACAATCTTTCTTGAAAATATGCAACTGATAGCACTATAGAAAATGCAGTTTTAAAAAACTCCAAATTTTGGATTTAGTACGTTTGAACAGCTGGCCAATGATGTATATATATGCTTTGTTTGGTGTGTGTGTGTGTATGTGTATGATAGTGAATGTGTGTGAGTATGTTTGTGTGTGTGTATGTGTGTGTGTGTGTGTGTGTGTGTGTGTGTGTGTGTGTGTGTGAGAATCTTGGATGTGGATGGATATGTGGCGAGATGATAATAATATCATGCAGACAGAAGAAGAGATGGAAATCTGTGTGTATATAAACTGTTTGTACTGTGACATTGTACATTCTTTCTTGTATGAAGCAGCGAAAAGACATGTCCAATGGTTAATGTTTGTGCCAGGCAAACCTGTGGGTTTACTAAAGATAATTTCGTTTTTCTGTCCTCGTTTTGGTTATTTAACAAATACTACAGCCCCTGAATTTTTTTAATGCCCTTGTTTGTTTTGTTTTTTTTGGGAGGGGGGGGGGAATCATTCAACTTCCCCTCTTGTGCCGGGGCAGGAAAGCTTTGTTCTTCGGTCCAAGGAGTTTTGTAGGGCTTGTTGGATTTGGAACATTCCGTGAATGTAGAAAATTAGGTATTACTAAATTTTTGCCAGAGTGATAACATTTGTCAATATACCCGAGGTGGAACTGGTGGGATTAGGTTTTTCAGTGGCTGAACCTCTACTGATAGTATGTCCTTCATTTGTTTGGGGTGGGGGTGGGGGGTTGGGGGGTACTTTTTGGTCTTTTATTATAATGTTGCAGTTTATATTTTGTATTTTTTTAATAGCAAAAATTAAGGTTACCTTGCACACTGTGTCCAGTTTTTAAAAGTCATGGTTCAGGTGAAGTGGCCCCCAATGCTAAAAGTTTATCCATTTCTTCTGTAGTGTGCATGCACGTTATGGTAACAACTAGGATGTGGACGTTTGGGTCGCCTCACAAGCATAATTGGTTTCTTGTAAGTAAGGTTCACTAGTCTAAGGCAATGATGAAAAATGTCAAATGAATAAAAAATCATAAGTGGGGGCTCTGGTGTGGTTTGCTCCTTCTTTCCTTTTTCTGTCAAACATCTATCGAGCTTATATCCCCCTCCTTTTTTAAAATATTATTACTCTCATGTAACTCTTCTAATCTTTGGCACTTTTATGACTTTGCCTTTATTGTATTGCAAGTGCTGTAAAACTTTTTCTAAAACTAATGGAATAAAAATGGTGTCCTTTATCAGAGACTCTGCCTTCAGATTCTAGTTCATGTCTGTGCATCTCTTCTCAAGGGGGCTCTGATTTGTAACATTAGTGCCAAGTGCACTTGAGTTTCTTTTGGACCAAAAATGTATTGATGCATTCAAATGTGGTTTTGTAAAAAAAATACTCATGAAGGAATTTGTTTGGTTAGTTTATTTGATAATATGGTAGTATTAGAATGCTCTACTGTTGTAGAAGATAGAGGTAGTAATCCTTTAATAAGGAAGTATATATTGCTTAGGTTATAGATGTTTCATCTGTTCAGTAATTTACAATATATGAGTTTTTAACTGCCGCTGTCAATACAAGATGTTCTGATAACACCGCTTAGTCAGCAGTTGTGCATTTGTGTAACTTAGTGTGATTTGCCAGCTAGTTCCTCAGAAATGATCAACATGCAGGGAGTCTTCACTATTTCTGTCACACTCTTTTAGCTGTTCATGCCTTATCTACCGGCGTCTGTGGTGTAGCGGTATGGCTCTTCGCCGTAACATTCTGAGACATGACTTCAGTTTTCTTTAGGGGAAATGTACATCCCTTTCAGCCTGAATTAACAGTGACAGGTATGATCTAAATTGTGGGGATGAAAGCGTAAAACACTTATTTTAATCTTACAATCTCAGACACAGATGTTTGAATATTTTTTCAGCCTTTTAATTAAGATTGTCTTTGAATGGAAGTGATTATAACAATCTATGGTTATTACAGAATTCTTGGAGTTGTTAGCAGTTGTTATCTTGGATTTTAGTATGATTTCAGTGTGAGAAATTTTTGCTTATAATAGTATTTTGGATGGCCCATGCAATATATCTTGAGAAGAAAGTCATAATCAGTGGGTATGGAAATGTTATTATCTTCATCACTGTACATTAGTTTTCACCTTGTTGGCTGTATGTGCTGCTGTAACTACCTCTCCCATTTTGAATCGAACATTGTTTTATTTTTATTTTCACCATGATTAAG